TTGTGGATCTCCCTCCCTAGTGACATCAGATCAGCCCCCTCCCTCCTCACTTTCAGAAGGAAAGTAAAAACGTGGCTCTGGAACCTGGCTTTCAGAGACTTCTGTACGGCCATATAGATTGGTTTATGTGCAATGATTATGGAATTGGCCTTGGACCATGATCTTTGGATGGTGTGATTTTAATACTGAATGTAATTTTTAAATGCTTAACTTGTATTAATTTTAACTCAACTGATTTTAAGTTTTTAATGTCTGTATGTGTTGCAAAGCATTGAACAAATGCCACATATAGCTGCCTTGAGTCCCCTTTGGAATAAAGAAAAGTGGGGTATAAATAGAGTAAATAAAAATAAACAAATAAATAAATAAAAACTATTTTTACAAAGTAACTAGAAAGAATAGAAAAGATTTTTTTTCTCATAGGTTTTTGGATGAAGGGGCTCCTTTACAGGTGGGAATAAAATGTTGCAGTAAATACCTGGCCTTGCCAGAAAATAGCCAAGGACAAAAGAAACACTGCCTTGAAGTTTTAAAGAACCAAGAGTGCTGCAATCTTCATGACTCCTGGAAGAATCTAAGGTGAAATTTATTTTCCCCCTTTATATAAAACCCAGTGATAAATGTCTTACAAGCCCACAAGGTAGCTGCAGGTTCTCTCCAAAATATTTTAAATGTTTGGGGCCAGAAGTGTTTGGGTTTTTTAAAACCTGTATTTGCATATATGTATATAATGAGAGTCCTCAGTGATGCAGCAGGTTAAAGCACAGAGCTGCTGAACTTGCTAACCAAAAGGTCGTGATTCGAATCTGGGGAACAGGGTGAGCATTTGCTGTTAGCCACAGCTTTTGCCAGCCTAGCAGTTCGAAAACATTCAAATGTGAGTAGATCAATAGGTACCGCTCCGTTAGGAAGGTAATGGTGGTCCATGCCGTCATGCTGGCCACATGGCCTTGGAGGTTTCTAGGGATAATGCCGGCTCTTTGGCATAGAAATTGAGATGAGCACCAACCCCCAGAGTCGGGCACGACTAGACTTAATGTCAAGCGGAAACCTTTACCTTTACTATATAATGATATGTTGCAGGTGGGACTCAAATCTAAACACAAAACTAATTTACATTTCATATATTATTATTATCATTATTAACAAGATTAATACACAGGAAAGAAGAGCACTATGCTGGCAATTGTGTTTGATCACATGTCAGACACTTCTCAAGTGTCTAGGACTGTGTGATATATCGGCGAATAACGCGTCCAAATCCAAGTAGGGTGGCATTTTGCAGTTGACGGATGGTAATTTTATCAGCGCCAATTGTTAAGTGCAGGCCAAGATCTTTAGATACTGCACCCAGTGTGCCAATCACCACTGGGACCAACTTGATTGGCTTGTGCTAGAGTCTTTACAGTTCTATCTTTAATTCCTCCTATTCTCGAAGCTTTTCCAGTTGCTTCTCATTAATCCTGCTGTTACCTGCAATTGCAACATTGATGATCCACATTTGTTTGTTTTTTTCCCCCACGATTGTGAGGTCAGAAGTATTGTGCTCCAAAATAATAATAATAATAATAATTATTATTATTCATACCCCGCTTTATCTCCCCCGAAGGGGACTCAAAGTGCCTTTTACACATAGCTTGTAATTTCATACTACTTTTTTGTAATAATATGCATGAAACAATGTTTGTGTAATGTATTGCGAAGGCACACCTAGCGCCAGCAGACAAGAGCCCTTTGTCTCACCCTGGCTATTCCACAGATAAATAAACCCCTTTTCCTAGTTCCAACAGACCTCACTACCTCTGAGGATGCTTGCCATAGATGCAGGCGAAACGTCAGGAGAGAATGCCTCTAGACCATAGCTATATAGCCCGAAAAAACCTACAACAACCCAATGTTTGTGTACACTGAACCATTGGAAAGCAAAGGTATTGAAGGGGACAACCCTCTTCAGTAGGACTATGCGGATATGTGGAAAATATGTGGAATATTTTGGAGCATTTTCTGGAATTCTGGAAAAAGGACACCCCATCTGTCCCATTTCCAGCAAAATACCACTAATCAATGCCACTTGCTAAAACACCTTATGAGATGGCTGGCACCACATCCAAAAGGTCTTGTAGATTGTCTTCATCTCATAAAGGGAGGATTCCTGAAGGTCTTCATCTATTTCAGTCACCAAAAAGACTGCTAAGGCCTCCAAGGGCGAGATAATAAACAAGAGAAAACAAAGGGAAATGTTGGTATGACTGTGGGTTGGGGAGGAAAGGAAGCAATGGCTCTGAGGGACAGCGATATGCTGCAGTGGCGATAAACGGCGGTGGCTCGTTGGTGACAGACATGAGATGCGGCGCGTGGGTGAGCTTGACTCGGCCTGGCTGTGTTTGTGAAGGAGGAGGAATTTCGCCTCGGTGAAATAAGAGAAACAGGGGTTGTCCCCACTCTCTCCTTGAGAGAAATCAAGCAGCGAAATAACAGGCGCTGACTTTTTTCCTGGTCTCTCTGGGGGAAATAAGAGAAATGGTTGTCCTTGCGTGCCCCTCTCAAGGAGAGCGGGAAAGGGGGTGGCTCTGTGATAGAAAAAGGCATGAGGGGAAGGGAAAAGAAGAAGGCCTGGGGCCGAGATGAGGGAAGGAAGCCTGTCTCTGTGTGTACGTGTGTGTGTGGTTGGTTGGTTCGAGGCACACACCTGTCAGTGCGTGCGTGTCCATGCAAACATCTTGGCTCCTGAACTAAACTCTTGTGTGTATGGCGGATCCTAGCCATACCTAGCCCTCTGTATGTATGCACAAATCTGAGCCACACAAACATGCCTGGGCTCCTGAATGAAACCCAAATGTGTGTTGTAGTCATACAATGTCTCTGTGCACGTCGATCCACACACCTTGGCCCTAGTTTATGTGTGTTGTGGGTTGTAGACACACGTTTCTGTCAATGCTTCGGTGCACATGCCTCGGCTCTTGAACAAAACCCTCGTGTGTGCATGTATTGGCTTGAAGACATACACATGAATCTGTGTGTGTATATGCACCTTGAGTCTTGAGCAAAACCTGAAGACATATAGGTGTTGGATTGTAGACACACATGCCAATCTCTGTACATGTTTGTGTATCCATGCACATGCCTTAGCTCTTGAACAAACCCTAGTGTGTGTGTGTGGGTTATAAACATACACATGTTTCTGTGTGCATATACATACATACACCTTGGCACTGGAATGAAACCCTAATGTGCTAGGTGTGGTTTGCAAACATACACACGTGTGTGTGTGTGCCTTTCCATATACTTGAGTATTGAACAAAATCCTCATGCATTTGTGTTTAAATTTAAATTTAACCTTTACTAATGTTGTTTAAATGTGTTTTATAGGATAGTTATTATTGCTTTTATAACTATTTGTTTATACTATTTAAATTGTTTTTATTTAAATTATATTAGTTATTTATTACAGTACAAGGCATTGAATATTTGCCTTTTGTGTCCGTGAGCCGCCCCAAGCCTCCACAGGGAGATGAGGTGGAATACAAATAAAGTGTTGTTGTTGTTGGATTATAATTATTTTTATTTAAAGCATTTATATTCCACCTTTCTTACCCCGCAGGGGTCTCAGGGTGGAGCACAACATATATATGACAAACATTGGCCCTAGTGCAGGCATGGGCAAAATTGGGCCCTCCAGGTGTTTTGGACTCCAACTCCCACAATTTCTAACAGCCTATGTATGTTGCAGACATCCAGCATCCCTGTGTGTTCATCCATGCACATTGGCCCTAGTGCAGGCATGGGCAAACTTGGGCCCTCAAGGCCGAAGTTTGCTCATGCCTGCACTAGTGTATGTGTGTATAGTTTCCACCTGCATGTTGGTGTACACGTCTGGGCTCCTGAATGAAGAAGCCCTAGCTTGCGTGTCTCGGTGTCCAGTCCATCTGTCTTCATGCCTTGGCCCTAAAGTGTGTGTGTATATATATATGTGTGTGTGTGTGCTGCACGTGCGTCCTTCTGCATATGGACTCCAACTCCCACAATTCCTAACAGCTTATGTGTGTTGCAGACATGTAGCATCTCTGTGTGTCCATCTATGCACACTGGCCTTAGTGCGGGCATGGGCAAACTTGGGCCCTCCAGGTGTTTTGTGCTTCAACTCCCACAGTTCCTAACAGCTTACTAACACAATTCCTAACAGTCACAATTCCTAACAGCTTATGTGTGTTATGGACACACAGTATCTCTGTGTTTGTCCATCCATGTACCTTGGCCCTACTGCAGGCACGGGCAACTTGGGCCCTCCAGTTGTTTTGGACTTCAACTCCCACAATTCCTAACAGCCTACTAACACAATTCCTAACAGTCTATGTGTGTTGCAGACATGCAGCATCTCTGAGTGTCCATCCATGCACCGTGGCCCTAGTGCAGGCATGGTCAAACTTGGGCCCCCCAGGTGTTTTGGGCTCCAACTCCCACAATTCCTAACAAGCACAGTTCCTAACAGCCTATGTGTCTTGCAGACATGCTGCATGTGTGTCTATCATGCACCTTGGCCCTGGTGCAGGCAAGGGCAAACTTGGGCCCTCCAGATGTTTTGGGCTCCAACTCCCACAATTCCTACCAGCCTACCGACTGCTAGGAATTGAGGGAGTTGAAGTCTAAGATACCTGGAGGGTATGTGTGTGTAGTTTCTACCTGCATGTTGGGCTCCTGAGTGAAGAAGCCCTAGTGTGGGTGCCTCGGTGTCGGGTCCATCAGTCTGCCTCCTTGGTCCTAATGTGTGTGTGTATGTGTGTGTGTGTGTGCGCGCGCGCGCTGCGCGTGCGTACTTCTGCCTCTCCGCCTGGGCGCGCGCTTCTCTCCCTCCCTCCCTCTTTTCCTTCCCAGGCAAGCCTTCCTTTGGTGGTGCCCTCGAGCTGCGCGGTGGGCTCGCGCTGGGGTATTTACGGTAAAGCGGCGGGTCCGTGTCAGGTGATGTGAGGCGAGGAGGAGGAAGAAGAGAAGGGAGGGAGGAAGGAAGGGAGGAAAGGGGGCGGCAGGCGAGCGTTCACAATGCAACATGGCCCGGGAGCGGCGCCGGCGGGCAGAGAAGCAGCAGCAGAGGCATCCTGGGCGTCCCGGGGCCTGTGAGGAGGGGCTGCTCCCCGCCGCGCCGCCCTCCTCCTCCTCTTCCTCCACCTCCTCTTCCTCCTCCGCCTTCTCCTGCTTCGCCTCGACGCTTCTCCTTCCCGGCCATCCCCGCTGAGCGCCCGAGGCACCGCCCGAGATGGGGCTCTGCTACAGCCTCCGCCCGCGGCTCTTCGGAGAAGGAGGAGGCGGCGGTGGGAGCAGCGGTGGCGGCGGCGGCCGGTCATCCATCTCCAGCAGCAGCGCCGCCGCCGCTGCTGCCGAGAGCGAGCCGCCTCAGCCGCCCTCCCCACTGCCCAAAGCCAAGAGAGATGAGGAAGGCGGGAAACGAGCAACAGCAGCAGCAGCTGCAGACGGGCCTCGGCTGCTCCTTCAGAACGGCGGCGAGGGGAAAGCGGAGCCAGCCTCAGCCTCGTCCTCGGGGGGAGCTCCCACTCTGCAGCTCCTGCCCCCGCCTCCTCGGGAGAAAGGAGGGCGCCCCCCGGAGGAGCGCGAGGCCGAGAAGGAGGCGCGGCGCGTGAGCCGGAGCATCGACCGCGCGCTGCGGGAGCAGAAGCGCGAGTACAAGCAGACGCACCGCCTGCTGCTCCTGGGTACGTAAAGCGTCGCCTCGCGGGAAAGGGGGAGAGACCCGAGCGCGCGCCGGGTTTGAAAAGAAAAAATAGAAAAAGAAGAAGAAGGGAAGGGGCAAAAAAAGTGGGCGGGGCGAGGGGGCAGCGCGCTCCGAACAAAAGGGTGCCCCTCCCTCTGGACCTCTCTCTTGAGTGGCAGCAGCAGGTCTACTCCAGGCAGGCACAGTATCTGCAGGCTCTGCATCCACAGCTTTAGGATATTTATTTATTTACGAAATTTATATGCCGCCCATCTCACCCTAAAGGGGACTTACAAGTTATATCATATTACTTGTATTAGCATATCACAATATTAGTATTATATATTGCTGTATTGTACTATAACACTATACTGCAATATTATTAATAATGTTACATTTAATACAAAACATATAATAATTATTAGTATTATTATATTGTATATAAAATATTATGATTAATATTATATGTACTTACAACATAGTATATTATTAGCATAGCACAATATTAGTCTTAGATATGCTATATTGTACTATACCACTATACTGCAATATTATTAATAATGTTAAATTTAATATAAAATATATAATTATTATATTGTATATAAAATATTATGATTACTATTATATGTACTTACAACATAGTATATTAGCATACCACAATATTAGTCTTAGATATTGCTATATTTATATTTTTATTACTGTACTTGTATACCGCTGTTTCTCAGCCTAAATTGGCGACTCAACGCGGTTTACAACAAAATACAACAATCAACAATATTCAGTTTAAAAACCATAAAAAACATACACAATACACAATATTGGCCCATATTGTATTATACCACTTACTGCAATAATATTATATGTACTTATAACATATTATATTATTAGCATAGCACACTATCAGTCTTAGATATTGCTATATTGTACTATACCACTATACTGCAATAATATTAATAATGTTTCATTTAATATAAAATATATAATTATTATATTGTATATAAAATATTATGATTAATATATGTACTTACAGCATAGTATATTATTAGCATAACAAAATATTAGTCTTAGATATTGCTATATTGTATTATACCACTATACTGCAATAATATTATATGTACTTATAACGTATTATATTATTAGCATAGCACAATATTAGTCTTAGATATTGCTATATTGTACTATACCACTATACTGCAATATTATTAATAATGTTACATTTAATATAAAATATATAATTATTATATGTTATTATTATATTGTATATAAAATATTATGATTAATATTATATGCACTTACAACATATTATATTATTAGCATAGCACAATATTAGTCTTAAATATTGCTATATTGTATTATACCACTATATTACAATATTTTAATAATATTACATTTAATATAAAATATATAATTATTCTATTGTATTATTACTAGTATTATATTGTATATAAAATATTATGATTAATATTATGTGCTTGCAACATATTATATTATTAGCATAGCACAATATTAGTCGTAGATATTGCTATATTGTACTATACCACTATACTGGAATATTATTAATAATATTACATTTAATATAAAATATATTATCATACTATTGTATTATTATTAGTATTATATTGTATATACAATATTATGATTAATATTATATGTGCTTACAACATATTATATTATTATGGTGTAAATAAATAAATATTAGCATAGCACAATATTAGTCTTCGATATTGCTATATTGTACTATACCATAATACTGCAATATTATTAATAATATTACATTTAATATAAAATATATAATTATATTGTAGTATTAGTATTATATTGTATTACAATATTATGATCAATATTATATGTGCATACAATATATTATAATTATTAGCATAGCACTGTATTAGTATTAGTTATTACCAAAGGCAAATATCCCAAAGGCAAACTGTTTTGTAGAAGGGGCACTGTTTTAATGGGGCTTTCTCCCAAGGAGCTCATCACACTAGAGAATGAATCCACTTTAAATCCGGTTGCCTCCTGGAGAATTCTGGGGTTTGTAGTTTAGGGAGGCTGTTAAAGGCTCCTCCCTAAACTACAAACCCCAGAATTCTGCAGGAGGCAACAACTGGATTTATTCTCTAGTGTAGTAGTTCTCAACCTGTGAGTCTCCAGATGTTTTGGCCTTCAACTCTCAGAAATCCTAACAGCTGTTTTTTTGTGTGTGTCAGAAGCGACTTGAGAAATTGCAAGTTGCTTCTGGTGTGAGAGAATTGGCTGTCTGCAAGGACGTTGCCCAGGGGACGCCCGGATATTTTGATATGTGGGGTTTTTTTTTTTTCATGTCAGGAGCGACTTGAGAAACTGCAAGTTGCTTCTGATGTGAGAGAATTGGCCGCCTGCAAGGACGTTGCCCAGAGGACATCCGGATATTTTGATGTTTTGATTTGTGGGGTGTTTTTTTATGTCAGGAGCGACTTGAGAAACTGCAAGTTGCTTCTGGTGTGAGAGAATTAGCCGTCTGCAAGGACGTTGCCCAGGAGACGCGGGATGTTTTTGATGTTTTACCACCCTTGTGGGAGGCTTCTCTCATGTCCCAGCATGGGAACTGGAGCTAACAGAGGGATCTCAACCCACTCTCCTTGGATTCAAACTGCTGACCTATTGGTCAGCAATTCTGCCACCACAAGTGTCATCCATTGCGCCACGGGGGGGGGGGGGGGGTTCCTGGTAAACAGCTGGTAAACTGGGATTTCTGGGAGTTGTAAGCCAAAACACCTGGCGACCCAGAGGTTGAGGACCACTGCAATGAAGTAATTGAGGAGTTTTTGTTATCCAAGCCCCAGTGTGTGTGTGTGTGTGTGTGAAAGAGAGAGAGATCTTCCTTTTGGGCCAGTGCTTTCCCATTTCCTCCCCTTCTTCCTGTAATTTGTCTCTGCTTCCGACTGCTACCCCTCCTTCTTTGTCGCCTCCTGCTCCGCCTCTGCTCTCTCTCCTCCAAATGACCTCTCTGCTGAGCAAAATGAGAGGATGGAGGCAGCAGGAGATGCTCTCTTGTTCAGCCAGAGGATGCATCCATTCTGGAATGAATACAGTTTGACACCACCTGAATTGCTTTGGATCAGCACTGTGAAATCCTGGAATGTGTAACTTGGCGAGGCACCAGCACTCTTAAGAAGAGAAGGCTAAAGGCTACAACTCCAATGATTCCATAGCATTGAACCATAACAGTTGAAGTGATGTCAAACTGCATTCATTATAAATCAGGCATGGGCAAACTTTGGCCCTCCGGGTGTTTTGGACTTCAACTCCCACAATTCCTAACAGCCAATTCCAAAACACCCAGAGGGCCAAAGTTTGCCTATGCCTGATCTAGATGCACCCAAAGGCTACCCAAAGTGGTCTCTTAGGATGGCCTTCCCCAGGCATGGTGTAGGTGGAGCTAAAAGTAAATACTACTTCCAGTGGCACCTCCAGACTGTGAAATTGTTTAGCTGTTAGTAAACAAAAGAACTGCACTTCAATTCACAATAAAGACTTAGAATCATAGAATCAAAGAGTTGGAAGAGACCTCATGGGCCATCCAGTCCAACCCCCTGCCAAGAGCAGGAATATTGCATTCAAATCACCCCTGACAAATGGCCATCCAGCCTCTGCTTAAAAGCTTCCAAAGAAGGAGCCTCCACCACACTCCGGGGCAGAGAGTTCCACTGCTGAACGGCTCTCACAGTCAGGAAGTTCTTCCTAATGTTCAGATGGAATCTCCTCTCTTGTAGTTTGAAGCCATTGGTCCGCATCCTAGTCTCCAAGGAAGCAGAAAACAAGCTTGCTCCTCCTCCCTGTGGCTTCCTCTCACATATTTATACATGGCTATCATATCTCCTCTCAGCCTTCTCTTCTTCAGGCTAAACATGCCCAGCTCCTTAAGCCGCTCCTCATAGGGCTTGTTCTCCAGACCCTTGATCATTTTAGTCGCCCTCCTCTGGACACATTCCAGCTTGTCAATATCTCTCTTGAATTGTGGTGCCCAGAATTGGACACAATATTCCAGATGTGGTCTAACCAAGCAGAATAGAGGGGTAGCATTACTTCCTTAGATCTAGACACTAGGCTCCTATTGATGCAGGCCAAAATCCCATTGGCTTTTTTTGCCGCCACATCACATTGTTGGCTCATGTTTAACTTGTTGTCCACGAGGACTCCAAGATCTTTTTCACACGTACTGCTCTCAATCCAGGCGTCACCCATTCTGTATCTTTGCATTTCATTTTTTCTGCCAAAGTGGAGTATCTTGCATTTGTCACTGTTGAACTTCATTTTGTTAGTTTTGGCCCATCTCTCTAATCTGTCAAGATCGTTTTGAATCCTGCTCCTGTCCTCTGGACTATTGGCTATCCCTCCCAATTTGGTGTCGTCTGCAAACTTGATGATCAAACTTTTCTGTTTGTTGCCCATTTGCAACTGTTAATACATTTTCTAGAAGAAGAGGTATGGTTTTTATAACTCACTAGCTTGGGGACCCGGCATTACCCGGGTTATTGGGAGAAGTCCTTTTTTTCCCCCAAAATGAATAAGGTTGTGGTTGTAATGCAACTCACATCATGCTAGGTTAACCCCCAGAAACTCCAGTAATTAAAGTTGGACATGTGCGGCAACTTTGCTCTAGATGCATCATTGGTGTGGTTCAGTGTGCTCTCTGGCGGTAGGGTAAACTCCCACTATGGTGAGTCAGTTCCCTCAAACCCAGTAGGTTGAGTTGATCATGGGGATTCTGTGTGCCAAGTTGGGTCCAGGTCCATCATTGGTGGACATCACAGTTTCTCTAGTTGTGTGTGAACTACAACTCCCAAAAAGGAAGGTCAGTTCCCCCCAAACCCCTCTCCCCCCCCCCCCGTAAACAAATTTCAGCATATCAGGTTTGTGTGCCAAGTTTGGTCCAGATCCATAGGTCTTTGGGTTCACAGTACTCTGGATGTAGGTGAACTACAACTCCCCTAAAACAAGGTGAATTTCCCCCAA